ACTCATACTTCGCAATGTTGTCCATAGCTTGTCATGATCCACACAATCAAAAGCCTTCGTGTAGTCAATAAAGCACAGGGAATCATCTTTCTGATATTCTCTGCTTTTAGCCAAGATCCACCGTACATCAGTAATGATATCTCTCGTTCCACGGCCTCTTCTGAGTCCAGCTTGAACCTCTGGAAGTTCTCTGTCAATGTATAATTATAGACATTTCTGTATTACCTTTAGTAAAACTTTACTTGCTTGAGATATCAAAGAGATTGTCCAATGATTTCCTCATTCTGTTGGGTCACCTATCACATAATTCACAATAAAACATTTTTTAAAAATTCTTCTTTATTTTGTGAGTAAATTCTGTACTTCTTTAATTATATCTTTACATACCCTACATACGGAGCTCTTGTAGCGTAGTGTTTACGAATCGTCATGTGAACCTCAAGGTCAACAGTTCAAAACTACCAGCTGTTTCATGGGAGAAATATGAGGCTTTCTGCTCCCGTAAAGATTTACAGCCTTGGAAAACCTATCCAGGGTTGCTATGAGTCGGAACTGACTCCATGGCACATAACAACAACAACATACCCTACATGGATGTAGTTATGTTCTATTTGACTCTTACACATAAGAAGATATAAGTCATGTTCTGGAAGATCTAAACATTTCCTCATATGAGGTGCACACAAGTAATGGATGCGATTTGGCTGCCAGATTTCTTATTTTTGTTCCATGACACAACTATCCCAAAAGCACACCAGGGCAGGCACTGGATATTTATTATGTGGCAATAAGACATCAAAGAAATGCTTCAAATTACAAGTTCCTCATTTTCACCTCCAGTTTACAATAGATTACTGATGTCTGCACACAGTCATACTGGATCTTAGAGGTTTCTGCATTGTTTTATGCAATCAACATAAAAATTAAAGACATATACTAATACGGTTTAATAATGTAAATTGGCTTGTGAGATAACAATATATTTTGAATTCAAATTAAAGAGAAAAGTTTTGATTAAAAGAAAAGGAGAGTGTGGGAAATGAGTCAAGTAACCACATGGGGAAAATGCATATTTCTCAAAGGATCCCATAAGAGAATGTGGAAAATATTATCCAAAGATTTTGGTTAATAAGAAAAATATAATAATGTGTGCTAAAATACAAATTAATTGAAGTCAAGGGACCACATTCCCATAAGACAACCCCATTATTCATTTGAACCATGGGTGTCTGCATGTGGATTTTTATGTTACTGCCTTCTCCCACAAACTAGTAGTTGGACTTCATTATTCAACTGGGAGAATAAAGATTAAAATGACAAAACCTAAACAAACAAGTTAATATTCATGCAATATATTAGATGTAAGGTAGAAGATAAGACCATATCAAAGAAGAAACTGGGCATGAAAATATCATACGGTAATATGTTCATACAGAAATTACAATGTTTCACTTATTTTCATTGAAAAGCTAAGCTTAATTTGTTCATATTTTCCCATTCAAATTCACACTGAAATAATTAATCAAATAATTTCATATATCTCAGAAGCATAGTCATTGTGTTTAGTCAAATTAGCATAGTCATGATTTCTGACAGTTATAAATGTTCACAAGCAATGAGGAATTTCACTGCATAAGTTGTCCAAATGTAAAAAGAAGAAAATGTCTAATAGATATATTTATTAAATCATGTTAACTAATGAACTATTTTAGATTACAGAATAAATGGAAGTAATTTAATTTTTTCAAAATGACTACTGACTAAATTTTTCTAAGTAATGATAGAACTTTAAAAAGTATATATTCATCATATATTGATTAAGCATCTATGATGTGGAAGGCAGTGTTCCAGATAACCTCTTTGATAATGCAAAAATGGGTAGTATTTCTATAATAACTTTAAAGAACTCATAGGTTAAATTATTGTCTTTTTTTTTTAAGTAGACTATTTTTATTATGAGAGACATAAAATGCTTTGGGAGAAGGGGAAAGAAAATAATTGTTATCACTTATAATGATATGGTGCTGTGTTAATAGCTGTGAATGTGAGCATTATTATTATCATAATTTTAAAGAACACAGCATGGAAGCTCAGGGAAATAAAGTAGTTTTCTCAACACTACACAGACTATGTGTTTCTAGCACAATAAGCTTGAAACTTGACCGGGTTTGGCTCTAGTCTTTGATATTGCAATGCACCATCCTACTTAAGTATTAAGAAAGACATCTAGACTAATGCATTATACTTTAGTTTAAGTCATAGAAATGTAGTTATTTTCCAGCTGATCTAAGAATATATAATGATAAATTTCCATCCTTCGTATTCTAACTAGGTTTCTCCAGTCTACTTCAACACTAGTATAGACATGAAGAGAGAGAATCACACATCAAGCACAGATTTAATTATCCTTGGACTATTTCCTGATATGGGAAATATTACCTACCTTATCTACATGATTCTCCTGAGCTACATCATTACGCTCTTTGGGAACACCGTCTTGATCTTACTAATTTGGGTGGATTCTCAACTCCACAGCCCCATGTACTTGTTCCTCAGTCAACTTTCTGTCATGGACTTAATTCTCATCTCCACTACTGTTCCTAAAATGGTCACTGACTTCTGGGTTGATAGGAAAACAATCTCACAGATTGGCTGTGGAATACAGATGCTATTTTATATAACCATAACAGGTTCTGAAAGCATCCTCTTGACTCTGATGTCTTATGATCGCTATGTTGCTGTCTGCAACCCACTAAGGTATTCAGTCATCATGAACCCCAGAGTCTGCCTGTTTATGGCTACTTTCTCCTGGGTGATGGGGTTTCCAAATGCTCTGTTTCATACAGTTTACACCATGAATTTACCATTATGTGAACCCAGGGAAATTCGCCATTTCTTCTGTGAGGTCCCAGCTATCCTAAAAGTCTCCTGTGATGATACTTCGGTGTATGAAATAATTTTGTTTGTCACAGGAATCGTGTTCTTTCTTATCCCTTTTGGGCTCATTCTGGCCTCCTACAGTCTCATTTTCTTGACTGTCTTCCATATGAAATCTCAGAAGGGAAAGAACAAAGCTCTGGCTACCTGCTCCTCCCATATTACAGTGGTAAGTCTCTATTTAGGTTCAGGCATCTTTGCCCTCATGGTTTCTCCAGCCATGAACTCCACAGATAAAAGCCAGGCTGGTTCCTTATTTTACAACATCCTCACCCCTATGCTAAACCCCATCATCTATAGCCTGAGGAACAAAGAAGTCATGGGGGCTCTAAGGAAAGTGCTGTTAGTTGGTATAGGTTCTCAAATAAAAAACAGAAGACATTAGAATTGTGACCATATATTTTATTCCATTCTTTCACAAACAAGGTTGATAAAAGTCATTGAACAATTTGATAAAGTACATTTAAAATGCAGAAAATCATTGACTCCGAAATTAGAAAACAGGAATGCTGTTATATCATAAGAATGTGGGAGTTAAAAGCAGATATGATTTACAAATGGCAGAACCAGAACACTCATTCTCAAGAATTCCTTCTCTATTTGTATGCTATTTTAAGGTATATTCAGTTTATCTAATTTCTAAAATAATCTAATAGACATGCATCTAAGGTTTATATTATGACTCAAAATTCTATAACCTATGCAGATTTAGTCATTTTAAGACTCTGACATTTATTGTTGTTGTAGTGTTTTGTCTAGTCAGTTCTGTCTCATAGCAACCCTATAGGATTAAATAGACCTGCCACATGGGGTTTCCTAGGTTGTAATCTTTACAGGAGCAGATTGCTAGGGTCTTTTCTCCTGCAGAGTGACTGATGGGTCCAGACTGCCAACCTTTCTGTTAGCAGGTAAAAGTTACAACCATTATGCCACCAAGACTCCTAAATTTTGATATGTTGTTGCTGTTAAGTACCATCAAGTCGGTTCCAACTCATAGAGACTCTGTATAGGGTTTCCAAGGAGCAACTGGTGAGTTTGAACTGTCGACTTTGTGGTTCAAACTGACCTTGCAGTCCAGTGCTTAGTCTATAGTGCTACACTAGGACTTCAAATTCTGATATACATCCTGGATGGATTGGCCAATTGGCAGCATTGATGGACTCAAGCTTGGCAACAATAGTGAGGTTGGCCCAGGGTTGGGCAATGTTTCGTTCTGCTGTGCATAAGGTCGCTATGAGTCGGTACCAACTCAATGACACCTAACAACAACAACAGTCAGTTTTGTGTTTCTGTATGTAGACACAAATACAAAAATATATGAGGAGAGCAATGTTGTTGTTATTGCTGTTGTTAAGTGCCATCTAGTCAGTTCCGACCCATAGTGACGCTGAACAGGGTTTCTGAGGCTGTAAATCTTTACGGGAGCAGAACATCTCATCTTTCTCCTGTGGAGCAGCTGGTAGTTTCGAACTGCTGACCTTGCGGTTTGCAGCCCGATTCATAACCACTACACTACCAGAGCTCCTTAGGGTAAGAAAAAAGAAACATAAGCAATCATACATCTGTTTTTTAATGTATTTTTTATGAACTCTATGACTTATTAAGCTATTGTAAATACTCCTTTATCATTTAGCATGCATTCTGAACATCATGATACTATTGTACAAATGCCATTAAATTTCTTCATAATTTACTGTTATTACCATTCCAAAACTTGCTCTTAAATGATAACTGATTCAACATGCTAGATAGACATATTTTCCCCCTCAATAATTATTTAAGTTTTAGTAAAGTCATAAACCTCATAGCCAATATACAATGACAAAGAAAAATAGTAGAGTAATTCATCAGATGATAGAAGATCTGAATTGAAGAGGCTTCTGATCAAGCAAGTCTTGGAAAGCCAATAATTAAACAAGTTTTGGAGGAATAAATCAAAGATGGAAGAGCCAACTAACCTACCCAGCTCCAGAGAAACTTGACTCAAACTATTTTACTTCGTTGAAAGGCAAGATTGAAATATAGTGCTTGAAACATATAGATTATTTATGCTTTGACCAGGAGTTAATAATATCCTCATACTCTACCCCTCCTCACAAACACAGACTACCTGGGAGCCAAGCCTTTTACTCTCTCTGTGAAGATTCAGAGAGTGATTTTCTGAAAATAAATAAGCATACCTACGTAAGGAGCTCTGGTAGCATAGTGGTTACAAATCAGACTGTAAACTCAAGGCTCAAAACTACCAGCTATTCCATGGGAGAAAGATGAGGCTTTCTGCTCCCATAAAGATTTGCAGCCTAGGAAACCCTGTGCAGGGTCACCATGAGTCGGATCCGACTCCATGGTACGTAACAACGACAACATAAGATAGGACTCCTGATGAGGCACTGTATGGATAAGCACTGGACTGTGAACCACAAGGTTGGCAGTTCAAACTCAACCAGCTGCTCCTCAGAAACCCTATCAAGGGTCGCTATGAGTCAAAACTGACTCGACAGCACTTAACAACAACACATAAGAGGAGAACATAAACTTTTCATTCTGACAATTATGGTTCAAAGTCTCATTGCTATTGCCCTTCTTAATGACTGAGCCAATCACACTGGTCACAGGTCCACATTTATGCAGCTTCTAGGGCACCTTCAGTTTTCCATTATTAACCATAAAGGAACAAACCCAGACAAACAAACAAAAATCATCAAGAAACATTATAAATTGGAAAAGCCATATACAAATATGCAATGGTCTCCCATTTAGACCCTCAGACATCCCAATCAACTGGCCTAATATTGTTTCTCAGTACTTCTGTTCTACCTCCTAGAGGGTGGCACTATTACTGTAGTCAGGAATCAGAGGAGGAAATGAAATGAGAGACTGGTTACCTCCATGAACGGCTACCTCCTTTGCCATTAGATCAAAAGAACTAGATGGTACCTGGCTACCATTACAAACATTTATCAAGGACAGTCATCATAGATTAAATTGTGTCACTCCAAAATATGGGTCAACTGATTAGGCCATGATTCACAGTAGTTAGAGGCAGCTATGTAGGTAATCTGATGTGATAAGCCAATCAGTTTTATAAGAGAAATAAGGGTGGGATGCAGCATCCTTAATCCAGCCCTGATCCAAGGTAGGGAGAATTTCTCTACGGTGTGGCCTACAACACTTTTAATCTTGCAAGAGATAAAAGGAACAAAAAGAAAATAGAGAAAGAGAGGGGCTTACTAATATCAAGAAAGAAGATGCTGATTTTTTAAAGAGAAGGAAGAAATGATCATGAACTTTATATGGAAAGGAAAGAGACATCAGATAAGTAAAGCACTACTTAAGAAAGAACAAAATTGGAGGCCTCTCACTTCCTGATACAAAAATTTATTAAACAGCCACAGTGGTGAAAACAGCCTGGTATTGATACAATGGAACCCAGAATTGAGAATTCAGAAGTAAATCCATATACATACAGTAAACTGATCTTTGACAAATGGCCAAAACACATTAAATGGGGACAATCTCTTCAACAAATGGTGCTGGCATATCTGGAAATTGTTTTGCAGAAGAATGAAACAAGACCCATATCTTACACCATATACAAAAGCTTGTATCAAGGGCACCCTAGTCCAAAAACTGACATCTATGCTCTAGAACACTTTAAAGAAGTCTTGTGCAGCAGATATGTCTAATATTAATACGACAGTTGATTTCTTGGGTGCTGCTTCTGTGAGCATTCATGGTTTACACAAGCAAAATGAAGTCTTTGACAATTTCAATCTTTTCTCCATTTATAAGGATGTTGTTTTATTGGTCCAGTGGTGAGTATTTTTGTTTTCTTTATATTGAAGTACAGCCCATACTGAAGGCTTTGGTCTTTGATCTGCATCAGTAAGTATTTTAAATCATTTTCGATTTCAGCAAACAAGGTTGTAACAGCTGAATATCAAAAGCTGTTAATGAGTTTTCCTTCCATACTGATGCTATGATCTTCATATAATCCAGCTTCTCGGATTCTGTGCTCAGCATACACATTGAATAATAATGGTGTAAGAATACAGCCTTGGCACACAACTGCTCTAATTTTAAACTATTCAATGTTCCCTTGTTCTGTTCAAACAACTGTCTCTTGGTCTATGTACAGGTTCCTCAAGATCACAATGAAATATTCCAGAATTCTCATTCTCCAAAATGTTGTCCACAGTTTGTCATGATCCATACAATAGAAAGACTTTTCATAGTCAATAAAGCACCAGTAAACATCTTTCTGGTATTCTCTGCTTTCAGCAAACATCTATCTGATGTCAGCAATGATGTCCCTCATTACATGTCCTCATCTGAATCTGGTTTAAACCTCTGGGAGTTCTCTGTCAATGTACTGCTGCAGCCCTTTTTGAATTATGTTTAGTGAAATTTTACTTGCATGTGATATTATCCGACAATTTCCACATTCCATTGGGTCACCTCTCTTTGGAATAACCACAAATATGTATCTCTTCCAGTCAGTTGGCCATGTCTTCCAAATTTCTTAGCATAGATGAGTGAGTGCCTTCAGTGCTTCATTAATTTGTTAAAATATTTCAGTTTGTATTCCATCAATTCCTAGAGCCTTATTCTTTGACACTGCCTTCAGTTCACCTTCAGTATCATTGGCTCTTTATCACACGCTATCTCTTGAAACAGTTACACATTGACCATTTCTTTCTAGTATAGTGACCCTGTGAATTCCTTGCATTGTTGTTGTGGTTTTTTTTTTAATGCTTTACTGTGAGTTATGTGATAGTTTACATGGGAGAACATTAGCTTCACATAGATCCCATCGTATATCATTTCCTTGCCATGGTTACAATCCCCTCAATGCATCATCCACCAACCACAGTGTATATACCCCGCAAGCCTGCCCCCCAGTCATCAGCACACAACCCTCTCCTTCTCTGGGTCTAAAGTCCACAGCTGCTCAATCTCTCCATGTTGTCGTCTCTGCCTACATCTCTGGCATCACTGCTTCTCTGGGTAGGATACCGTTCTCCACTCTTCTCCCTTGATGGTCCCAGGGACCTCCGCTCCTAGACTGCAAAGTTAACCCCTCCCCTCCCTTTGCTGCAAAATGTCTACCTTTACATTCCCAGCCCTTACAATCAGTTCTGGTAACAATTATTCACCATTGTATTGCAAGAGACCCTATCTGCATCTCCTTTCATCAGCCCTAACTAGGCAGAATGGATACTACTCAGTGGAGATTCTACCTTGTTCAATGTCCCCTGGATCTAGGTTCCCCCTTGAAAGCTTGTAAGCCAGTCACTTCTTGCCTCTGTAGCACCCCCATTCTGAGTAGCCAATGTCCAAGCTGCCTATTCCTGTCCTCTCCATGTGTGGAGGGGGTGGGAATGA